TCTTTAGTGTCCCCTGGTCTCCCAGCTGTGTGCGTCACTCTTTAGTGTCCCCTGGTCTCCCAGCTGTGTGCGTCACTCGTTAGTGTCCCCTGTCTCCAGCTGTGTGCGTCCACTCTTTAGTGTCCCCTGGTCTCCCAGCTGTGTGCGTCACTCTTAGTGTCCCCTGGTCTCCAGCTGTGTGCGTCACTCTTTAGTGTCCCCTGGTCGCCAGCTGTGTGCGTCACTCTTTAGTGTCCCCTGGTCTCCCAGCTGTGGTGCGTCACTCTTTAGTGTCCCCTTGGTCTCCAGCTATGTGCGTCACTCTTTAGTGTCCCCTGGTCTCTCAGCTGTGTGCGTCACTCTTTAGTGTCCCCTGGTCTCCCAAGCTGTGTACGTCACTCTTTAGTGTCCCCTGGTCTCCCAGCTGTATGCGTCATTCTTTAGTGTCCCCTGGTCTCCCAGCTGTGTGCGTCACTCTTTGAGTGTCCCCTGGTCTCCCAGCTGTACGCGTCACTCTTTAGTGTCCCCTGGTCTCCCAGCTGTGTGTGTCACTCTTTAGTGTCCACTGGTCTCCCAGCTGTATGGCGTCACTCTTTAGTGTCCCCTGGTCTCCACCAGCTGTGTGCGTCACTCTTTAGTGTCCCCTGGTCTCCCAGCTGGTACGCGGTCACTCTTTAGTGTCCCCTGGTCTCCCAGCTGTGTGCGTCACTTTTTAGTGTCCCCTGGTCTCCTAGCTGTGTGTGTCACTCTTATTGTCCCCTGGTCTCCCAGCTGTGTGCGTCACTCTTTAGTGTCCCCTGGTCTCCCAGCTGTGTGCGTCACTACTTTAGTATCCCCTGGTCTCCCAGCTGTGTGCATCACTTTTTAGTGTCCCCTGGTTCTCCCAGCTGGTGCGTCACTCTTTAGTGTCCCCTGGTCTCCCAGCTGTGTGCGTCACTCTTTATTGTCCCCATGGTCTCCCAGCTGTGTGCGTCACTCTTTAGTGTCCCCTGGTCTCCCAGCTGTGTGCGTCACTCTTTATTGTCCCCTGGTCTCCCAGCTGTGTGCGTCACTCTTTAGTGTCCCTGGTCTCTCAGCTGTGTGTGTCACTCTTTAGTGTCCCCTGGTCTCCCAGCTGTGTGCGTCACTCTTTAGTGTCCCCTGGTCTCCCAGCTGTACGCGTCACTCTTTAGTGTCCCCTGGTCTCCCAGCTGTGTGCGTCACTTTTTAGTGTCCCCGGTCTCCTAGCTGTGTGTTCACTCTTTATTGTCCCCTGGTCTCCCAGCTGTGTGCGTCACTCTTTAGTGTCCCCTGGTCTCCCAGCTGTGTGCGTCACTCTTTAGTGTCCCCTGGTCTCCCAGCTGTGTGCATCACTTTTTTGTGTCCCCTGGTCTCCCAGCTGTGTGCGTCACTCTTTAGTGTCCCCTGGTCTCCCAGCTGTGTGCGTCACTTTATTGTCCCCTGGTCTCCCAGCTGTGTGCGTCACTCTTTAGTGTCCCCTGGTCTCCCAGCTGTGTGCGTCACTCTTTATTGTCCCCTGGTCTCCCAGCTGTGTGCGTCACTCTTTAGTGTCCCCTGGTCTCCAGCTGTGTGCATCACTCTTTATTGTCCCCTGGTCTCCCAGCTGTGTGTGTCACTCTTTAGTGTCCCCTGGTCTCTCAGCTGTGTGCGTCACTCTTTAGTGTCCCCTGGTCTCCCAGCTGTGTGCGTCCCTCTTTAGTGCCCCCGGTCTCCAGCTGTGTGTGCGTCACTCTTTAGTGTCCCCTGGTCTCTCAGCTGTGTGCGTCACTCTTTAGTGTCCCCTGGTCTCCCAGCTGTGTGCGTCACTCTTTAGTGTCCCCCGGTCTCCAGCTGTGTGCGTCACTTTTGAGTGTCCCCTGGTCTTCCAGCTGTGTGCGTCACTCTTTAGTGTCCCCTGGTGTCCCAGCTGTGTCATCACTCTTTAGTGTCCCCCTGGTCTCCGTTGTGTTTGAGCTTCTTGCAGCGTTTTGTATTTGCAGCGTTTGGTGTATGCAACACTTTTTTAAATGATCCCAAAACATGATTTGCTCCTAGTGAAAACAAAGTAAACTCAATTACTAATCCTTCAGCAGTGAGTAAAAAGCAAACCTTACACACACATAGAAACCCAGAAAAAGTGGATTTCATTGCCGCCGTGCTTCACACATTTTCACAGTTTGTGAAGCAACATGCCAACGATAACGTCACGTCCGGCACGGAGAGAAGAGGTTGAATTCGGGGGGTTCAATTGGGGGTTTCGCTGAGTGAAACAACAGCACAGTGTAGCAGGCAGAGTCTGAGAGCTGCACACTATTGCATCTATATCGATTCGGGCTCCAGCCTTTTCCATTTTCCATGAACTCCTCTGAGCGGCTGCGAGTGGGAGTGATGGGGGGATTTGCTTGATCTTTATGATATTTCTTTAAACATGATGCTGTCGTTATGCCTCCCCGGGGAAAGACGCCAGCCATTTCCAGTAAATCAAAGGCTCTCAGGTCCCTTTGCTGTTTCCCACACACCTTATTTATAACCCGGCTAAACAGCCCCAACACACCAACCACCATCATTCTCATAATGTCTCTGCAAAGCGAACGTTTCTCAAGTGGAGTCAAACAAATGATGAGCGGCCTGCTGCAGCCTAATTGGCCATTTTGGACTTAGTTTCTTCAGTTGATTTATCATTTTAAGTGTTTTTGTTCGGGCTAAAATACTTATCCCCAAGATAAAACAAGATTTAAAGTTGCTTTCGTATGATTGCTTGAGGAAGCACTCAGATGTGCAATTATTCTAATTATAACTAGGACGACGTCATGTGACCACCAACAAATATACATACAAAAAGGAGTATTAAACAATAATATGTCATTATTTTTTAAATAGTGACATACTGCCGTCTTTAACATATTGTTACATAATTCATTATTTTTGCATAATTCTTATTAAATGTAGACACTGGAAATGACTGAAATAATCAACATCAAATATGTTTTATGTCACAACTGCATGTTTTGTCGTGGACTAAAATACCCACCTTTTTTCAACTGCAGATGAGCATTAAATAAATAAAAAGTTCTATTGCTTGTTCTATGATGTCGTATTTTCGAGGACCCTGAAGGCAGCATCTCCCTGGTTCCCTCGACAAAAAAACTGTTATTTTTACATTGGATTATGCAGCATATAATCTCTGTGTCAAACAGACGTTTATGATACTTACAATTTGTGATTTGTTAAGTAAAAAGCTAATGTTGGGCTATAAAGAAACTACAGCACGGTCACATGACTTCACGTCACCACCGCTAAGCTAAAGGTGGCTAACGTTAGTCTATAAAGGAACTATAGCACGGTCACATGACTTCACGTCACCACCGCTAAGCTAAAGGTGGCTAACGTTAGTCTATAAAGGAACTACAGCACGGTCACATGACTTCACGTCACCACCGCTAAGCTAAAGGTGGCTAATGTTGGGCTATAAAGGAACTACAGCACGGTCACATGACTTCACGTCACCACCGCTAAGCTAAAGGTGGCTAATGTTGGGCTATAAAGGAACTACAGCACGGGTCCACATGACTTCACGTCACCACCGCTAAGCTAAAGGTGGCTAATATTGGGCTATAAAGGAACTACAGCACGGTCACATGACTTCACGTCACCACCGCTAAGCTAAAAGGAGGCTAATGTTGGCCATGATGACGTTAGATAGTCGTCTCATTTAGAAACTTGTAAGACACTCTTCTTCTAAAAATGTCTTCAGCTTGTGTTAACCACCTACCAGGGAACAGGAAGTGCTAAAGTGCTGACTCATTGAAGGGTTTAAGGATTCCTGCAGCGCTCTATTTAAAGCTAATGTACTTGCAGTTCTTTTGTTGCTGTTCTACTTGTATCTTCATGGTTGAATGCCCTCATTGTGCGTCTCTTTGGATAAAAGCTGAGTGTAATGTAGGACATGGAGGCAGCTCGTCCTCTGACTCTCTCTCAGGCCTGAGGTGTTAGCATTAGCCCGCGCAGAGCAACCCACATGCCCACTGGTGCAGGTGCCTCTCCATGGGGCCAGGTGGCGGCTAATTCGCTCTCTCTGTCCCTCCTAATGAATCGTTAATTGGTTTGCCTCCCCCGCTGAGTGGAGGATAGCAGGCTTCTGTCTCTGCCGAGCCTCCGCCTGCACGCCTCACAACGATAACCGGACAGAAAAAAAGAGAAAGAGAGAAAGTTGAACTAGTTTTAAGCCTGTTTTTGTTGTCAGAGCTTAGATATAAACAAAGTATTAGGATTGAATTGTGTTTGTGTTCCAACAGCTTTGGAAATTGTCTTTTTAATTTAATTAAATGTTGTTATATACATTTTTTATTATTTAATTTTCTTTCTTAAATAAAACAAATATATATGGTACATTTTTTGGTTGAGTTAAAATTAGTTAATTAGATTATTTTATATTATTTAATTGTATATAATTTATAAATTTGTATTATTATTTTTGGTTTTCTTAAAAAACAGTTTTTTTAACATTTTAATTTTATTTCTGACATGTATTTATTAAAACCTTTGTTTGCTCTTATCTGGTACAACTTCTTGAATCAGTCAGGAAGCATCTTGTTTTCATCTTTACACATGAATAATTCTGCCATTTTCAAAGTCTACAAACCTCTAAATGTGTCAGCCTGTGTGTTTGTAAATAATATGTTAGTTGGTTGATTATAAACAGCTCAGTTCACATATCCCATAGCTGTCTGTCTGATAATAATCAATACATATAATCAATAAATGAATCCATTTCTGCATAGACCGTATGAATCCCACAGTATTTCTCTGTTCTAAACACTGAAGCTACAGCTCATACAACAGTCTCAGTGATTGGAGATATTGGAGTCCGACCTTTGCTCTCATTGCTATGGATTCATCTTCGGCAATTTAATATTTCCAAAGTTTCCTGCTCCGTGTAAAAGTCAATGTAATGCCTGAGATGTAAATATGTTGTGGAGTGAAACACATGCAGGATTATAAGAGTCCATGTTTGCCTAAATGTCTTCTTCTCTTCTCTGCAGGTGGTTGCTCTGAACAAACGCAGCAAAGAGGCAGAGTCGGCGTTCCTGGGAATCTACAAACAGCTGATCGAGGCCCCGGGTGAGTCCCCACTAACACACGACATGTGTGTGTGCACAAACAACAGCAGCATAAACACACACACTGACACACACACACAGATACAAACACAGACACACACACACACACACACACACACACATACCATGTATTTATCACTTCAGGGGACATTACATTGACTTACATGCATTTCCTGGAGACTTATCCTAACCTTAACCATAACCAACACATGCCTAACCCTAACCCTTAACCTTAACCTAACCCTTACCCTTAACCAAGTCTTCACCCTAAAATTAATGATTCCCCTTATGGGGACCTCCATTTTGTCCCCACACGTGACTGTGTAAACAGATTTAGGTCCCCACAAGTATAGTAATGCTAGGCCACACACACACACACACACACACACACACACACACACACACACACACACACACACACACACACCACACACACACACACACACACCCTCAACCTTCCTTCACCCCTTTACATCAAATGTTGGTACATTATTGCATTTTTTGGGGGGCTTTCCGGTAATTGAATGCATTTCAAGCAACTTTATTTAAATGTTTCTGGAGTTTACCATATGACTCCTGTCTCATGTTCAAACATCTCGGTTGATAGCCATAGTCCTTGCTAGAAAACATATATTTAAAGACTGGAAGTCACATAACATAAGCTTTTGAAAAAGTTGTTTGCAAAAATAAAAATGTGTTTATATTTTCATAAACACAGAGAAGTTAGAGCAAACATTGGATTTTGTAACAGTTACTCCGTGTTTAATTTAAAAAACAATTAAAGTCAAATGAATAAGTAAAAAAACAGTAAAAATAAAACGTGTATGTAATATCAATATATATATATATATATTATAAATACAATAAATAATAATTAACTTTGTATAAATATAGCTTTAACATTTTGTTGTGATGCTTGTTCCTTTTTAGAATTAAAAAATAAACTTAACAAATATATATAAACATAGAGAAGTAAAAATGTGCACACAGTCCTACGATATATAAACCAATCCTTGAAGACCACCCCATCAAACCTCCTCCCCCCTCCGGACCCCTCTATACACACGGTGACATTTCATGTATATATGAACACACACAAACTTTAAGAAAGTGTGCGCCCGTACCCTGCGGCTCTTATCTATTTTTCAAAGTCTGCGCTCTCAGACTGGTTTCCAAAACTCTGCATGAGGCCACTTCAAAACGCCGAGTGTAGCCGAGCCGCGGAGCCACGCATCCTGCAGGAGCCACCGCTGATTGTGGAGGGCCAATTAAAATCCAACTGAAGTCTGCTGCACAGGGTCTGATGAGGCCAATGGAGGAGGGAAAGGGGGGAGAAAGAGGGGTGAGGAGCACGGTGAAGTTGGAGAGGGTCGGGTGTGTCAGAATCTGAATTCCTTTATTTGTCCCACAACGGGAAAATGTACATTATTATTACAATGAATGGACATTTATTTATTCCACACATGGCAGTTATTTAAAGGTCCCCTATTATACTGTCTTTCATCAATATATCACAGGTCTCAGATATATACAGAGCCTGTCTCTGATTGGCTGAAACACCAAACAGATCATTGCAGCATTACCCATAATCCCCTCTGTTTCAGCCCTGTTTCAAAAGTTCTGATTCTCTGTCTGTTACTTTAGATGAAAATAAGGAGCCCCTCCCCACGCCCCTCTGAGAGACATTTGGTTACAAAGAACTCAATGGTGCTCTAGGAGGAGATTCAGGTGATAAGGTGGGGGGGGGGTTACCTTGGTTGCTGATTGGCTAATGGTTACACAAGACAACACATTGTTATGACATCATAAAGTGGCCAAAATCTGATCAGCTCATTTTCAGAAAGGTTTTTATAGAAATGGATCAGGACACAAAGAGAGAGTGGGTGTTTCTCAATGTCAAGGACGCTTGCTTGGTAGCACATGTCTTCCGAGTCACTTGCTTCAGAAGCGAGGCAAGAATCCTTCCTAGCCTCGGAAAACGAAGAATTGTGGAACAGGCTATCAGGTGTGTGTCATATGCGAGGCCCCGCCTTAAATGGAGCGCGACTTCCGCCAAAGATTTGGAAATTGGTCTGTGCGCAAAGCATTGTGGGGATTTTAAGACCGCGGAGTCTACACATGTGCAGCCTCGAAATTTCTCGCTAAGAAGTACCGGGCTCTCCTCGTCTGTGTCCACCTACCGTTCTGATTCTGATTACACCGCAGAAGTACGGTACAAAATGACAAAGTATGCACGCGTTATTAATTATAAAAAACACAATAATAAATAAAACCCAAAGAAAAAACACCATATATAATTGGAGAGGTAGAACTGCACAGTTTCTAAATAAGATTAGGGACAGAATAAAGCGTGAATGCGTTGCTCTTTGTTGCGAGAGCCAATCTCTGAGCAGATCAGAGGAACACTTGTGGCAGCGGAGAAACACTGTTTACAGATTCAATGAATACAAGATAAAAGTCTGCGTCAGAGAAAATAGCGAGTGACTTTTAAAGGTCTCCATTTTTCCTTGAAGTCGCCTGCTTGATATTGCACCAGCACACACACACACTTATACACACACACACACGTATACACACACTTATACACACACACACTTATACACACACACACACTTTGAATGGAGTTATTTCCTTGATAATAAATACCGTCTCTTTGAAGATGTATTCAGTTTGATTTTCTGACCTATAGATTTTATATAGACGCCCTAAATTCAAGCCCAGCAGCGTCTGGTGGGATAGTCAACGAGGAGTTGCTGTACTCCAGAACAAAGAGTCTACATTGGGGGAAAGGACACTGTCAGGCTAAGTGAACTCTATGTGAAAGAGAAAACATCTTAGCAGCTTCTAAGTCACTTCTCAGGTGACCATGTTTGACCTCACCTACAAAGAGGGTCTGTTGATAAAAGGGCCTAAATAACTGAACTAAGCTGGACGACTAGGGATGGGACTCTATTCAGGAAGTGAACAAAGGAGTCTGATGGAGGTGTTTCGCAGGCCATTTACATGCACGGAAACCTACAAGAAGTACACACACCTTTAGAGGAAGGCACTGTTACAGGCACTCTCTTCATGTGAAGTTTGATTACATTTACAACACACACACACACACACACACACACACACACACACACACACACACACACACACTTCTCTGTCCGCAGCCAAACAGAGAGTATTTCTGTGACCGAGCATATCTGTGTGTGTGTGTGTGTGTGTGTGTGTGTGTGTGTGTGTGTGTGTGTGTGTGTGTGTGTGTGTGTGTGTGTGTGTGTGTGTGTGTGTGTGTGTGTGTGTGTGTGTGTGTGTGTGTGTGTGTGTGTGTGTGTGTGTGGTCTACAGTATCCTGTTTGTCACTGTACTTCTTGCTGTTAGTGTCCAAGGTCACATCTCCCCCCCTTCGTTTCTACAATGGATGACTGCAGGTCCAGCGGAGGACAGTCATTTGGCTGCAGCCCCACTTCATTTCACACACACACACACACACACACACACACACACACACACACACACACACACACACACACACACACACACACACACACACACACACACAACACACACACACACACACACACACACACACACACACACAACACTCACCCCAAACGCCACAGCTCATGTATTTTTTTATCTTTCGACAGATGCAATTATTCTTTACACGCCACGCTCATTAATCTTAATGCAGTTATTACTATTCATTGCAAGGAGGCTTTTTTTTCTTTCTATTATTTCATTAGAAAGTGCCTCTGTCCTCTCAGGTGTGTGTGTGTGTGTGTGTGTGTGTGTGTGTGTGTGTGTGTGGTGTGTGTGTGTGTGTGTGTGTGTGTGTGTGTGTGTGTGTGTGTGTGTGTGTGTGTGTGTGTGTGTGTGTGTGTGTGTGTGTGTGTGGTCCAATCAGAGGAGGAGTTACACTATTGAATACAAAATGTAACCTAATCTGAGTATCAAAATATTGCTATTGGCTAGCGCACCAACACATTGTACGTGATAGGCTAAGGGGTGGGACATCTCTAAGTGGTTGACCAATCACAACAGAGCAAAATAAAGAGCCTTTTGAACATTAAAGCATCAAGACACTACATACTGATATACACCTGAACATCAGCAGGAGAGGACTCTTTAAAGTAGAGACACTACATACTGATATACACCTGAACATCAGCAGGAGAGGACTCTTTAAAGTAGAGACACTACATACTGATATACACCTGAACATCAGCAGGAGAGGACTCTTTAAAGTAGAGATATTACATACTGATATACACCTGAACATCAGCAGGAGAGGACTCTTTAAAGTAGAGACACTACATACTGATATACATCTGAACATCAGCAGGAGAGGACTCTTTAAAGTAGAGACACTACATACTGATATACACCTGAACATCAGCAGGAGAGGACTCTTTAAAGTAGAGACACTACATACTGATATACACCTGAACATCATCAGGAGAGGACTCTTTAAAGTAGAGACACTACATACTGATATACACCTGAACATCAGCAGGAGAGGTCTCTTTAAAGTAGAGACACTACATACTGATATACACCTGAACATCAGCAGGAGAGACTCTTTAAAAGTAGAGACACTACATACTGATATACACCTGAACATCAGCAGGAGAGGACTCTTTAAAGTAGAGACACTACATACTGATATACACCTGAACATCAGCAGGAGAGGACTCTTTAAAGTAGAGACACTACATACTGATATGACACCATGAACATCAGCCGGAGAGGCACTCTTTATACATCTGACATCAGCCAGGAGAGGACTCTTTAAAGTAGAGACACTACATACTGATATACACCTGAACATCAGCAGGAGAGGACTCTTTAAAGTAGAGACACTACATACTGATATACACCTGAACATCAGACAAGGAGAGGACTCTTTAAAGTAGAGACACTACATACTGATATACACCTGAACATCAGCAGGAGGAGGACCTCTTTAAAGTAGAGACACTACATACTGATATACACCCTGAACATCAG